TTCTTCCTTCCTTCCTTCCTTCCTTCCTTCCTTCCTTCCTTCCTTCCTTCCTTCCTTTCTTCCTTCCCTCCCTCCCTCCCTCCCTTCTAATTTTGGGTGAACCAATGAACAAAAATGGCCAAAAATAAAATACAACATGTCATCTAAGAATGGCTATAAGAAATAATCAGCCATCGGGTTGGTTCAAGATGGTGTAATTTAACCATTACAGCTCCCTCTTCTTCAGAATAGAATAGACCTGGAGGTCTTCTAGTCCAGCCCCTGCTCAAGCAGGAGACCTGATACCACCTCAGACAATGACTGTCCAGTCTCTTTAAAACCTCCAGCGATGAAGCACCCACACCTTCTGGAGGCAAGCTGTGCCACAGGTTGATTGTCCTCACTGTTAGGGAGTTTCTCCTTAATTCCAGGTTGCTTCTCTCCTTGATTAGTTCCCATCCCTTCTTTCTTGTCCTGCCTTCAGGTGCTTTGGAAAACAACCAAAATGGCAGCCCCTCAAATACTGGAATACTGCTATCACGTCACCCCCTGGTCCTCCCAAATGTGGCGGTCACCCCAATTCACCCACCAGCCCAACCATCTCTAGAGAACCTAATGGCCCTGAAGACAGCTTGAAAGTCCCTTATTTCCCATCTGCAGACATTTACAAAGCTTCTCCGTATTTCCACACATTCGGTATTAATTTCACCCTTTTTTATCTTCTGCTACAGGTAAAAATGGCGCCAGAGCTGTATCTCTGTAGGTTGAATTGTCTGCACACCTGGAAAATTATCTCTTGCCCTTTCTGTTATTTTTCTTCCCTCCGTTATTTTTTCTCCCCTGCTTTCCTTGTCTTCTTTGCACCGGGAGAATGTGAAAAACCTGAGCAAAGCGTGACTTGGCAGGCCCGTTTTATGTCTTTATCTCCCAATGTCGATGAATTTGGAATGCTAAATTAATTTCGGTGGCAAAATAGATATATTTAAGTCTAGCCTGCTGTGCGAGTTACATTAATTCCAGTCTGTGGGGTTTCTCTCCCTCTCTCTCTCTCCCACTGTTTATTATTTTTTCAGGCCCAGGTTCTCAGACATTATGAAAGGGCAACAGGTGCTACAGAGTTCAGAAAATACAAGTACTCCTTGACTTATGATCCGTCATTTAGCCACCATTCAAATCTCCTTGATTAGATTCCATCCATTGCTTCTTGTTCTGCCCTCAGGTGCCTTGGAGAATAGTTTGACTTCCTCTTCTTTGTGGCAGCCCCCGAGATATTGGAAGACTGCTCTCATGGCCCCCCTAGTCCTTCTTTTCATTAAACTAGACATATCCAGTTCCTGCAACCGTTCTTCATGTGTTTCA